AATAATATTGCTTAATGAATTTTCACAGCGCTAGCAATAGTGCATTGAAGTGAGCCGAACGAACAGAGTATAATATAAAATTATGTACACAGAAATTAGGAAAGCATCTATTGCCATCTTTCTTACACTATAAGTAAATAGATATATATGTGTGTTTGTATATATGTAGATATATTTTAAAATTTAATAGATCACTAACAGGGGGTGCAAGAAAAAACAGTCTTTTTGAACTGGTTTGTTACAGCTTTATGAATTTCAATATTCAGGTATAACTAAAAAACATACTCGAAATGTCCATAAGATATTTTAACTGCCAAATGAGTAGAATAAAATAAACAGATACTCACTACACCTCTCATACGATTTATTAAAATAACACACAGGTGCATTAGATAATGGTAAAGAGTTATGTTCATTGAAATACATTAGATCGCAGACAAGAGGAGCTAGAGGCAAAAACTTTTTGTTTTTGTGTCTATTGCTTAGTTCTTAAAACTTTAGAAAATTATATTTAAAGGGAAATATAAGAGGCAACGTACTCAATATTATTGATAATTTAAAATATCAGTAGAAAGAAATAAGTTCACGATAAAGTAAACTAAGTATACAGAGCCAGAGAATTACATGTTTATATAATATAAACTAATACATACATAATAATTATCTGTAATATTGGAGGGCCTATTGAGTACCTGCACTATGTGTTACCTATTACATAAATTTAAAAATCAATAAATAAAAAACTTAAAACTTTGAGTTGAATTTGATCCACTTTGCTCTTCTGGACGAGTTTTAATACAACAGATCCTGAAAAAGAGATAGAACTCAGTTAAGAGTTCTTTTCTACCTAATTTTCTAAATTAACTAAATCCGCTATTTAAAAACTTTATTAACATCTTTTACTTCGGGATATGCGAACAATAACAGTAATGGACTAAGATATCGATGTAATCAAAAGATGTGAGGTACAGTAAAATATACTTAAACTTTTTACCATGTTTTTCTTTTTAGATGTTATTGGTTTGTCTCTCCAGTAACTCATAATGTTTTGTATTTGAATATTCATTTAAGCAACCTTTTCTCTCGGCCTCCGCCAGTAGACATTAATTTTGTATTTGAATATTCATTTAAGCAACATTTTCTCTCGGCCTCCGCCAATAGACATTCATTTTGTATTTGAATATTCTTAATGTCTACTGGCGGAGGCCGAGAGAAAAGGTTGCTTAAAGAATATTCAAATACAAAAATTTAAGCAACATTTTCTCTCGGCTTCCGCTAGTAGACATTCATTTTGTATTTGAATATTCATTTAAGCAACATTTTCTCTTGGCCTCCGCCAGTAGACATTCACCTCATATTTTGGATACAAAATTTGAAACAAAATGAGATAACAAGATTACTAATTATATACGAATGCCCGTCGTGTGTTTTACGCAGACAGAATAATTTGAAGATAATATTTTTATTTGTTAGATAAACATGTAGATAGACTAATCTACTCTTTGCGTTGGTAAAGCAGTATTCAGTTGGATAAATCAAAGAAAGTATTTGTGGTTTGTATTAATGACAAAGCTATAAAGGCTATCTGCCGCCGTTCCTAATTTTGAACTTCTAACCAAAGGGGAGGCAGCCAGTCAAAATCACCCTACCATCCACACTAAGGGATTGACTGTCACTCTTATATTGGGCCCATAGATTAAAGTACGGGAAATATTTTGTTGTATTACGCGGATTTGAATCCGGTATGACAGCTACGAAATTCGGAGCTCCACCACCGAGTCAAAAGAAGAGAGAAAATATATTATAATTTTTTTTTTATTATTATTATGAAGCACCTCTTTAGTTCCTTTTCAAAAATATCGCTTGGGCTACAAAACATTCCTAATTAAACTTGAAATACCAATGTTAATAAGTATCATCCAGTTTCGTTGTTGCTTTGTAGCCCTAGTTTTGAACGAACTTGTTTTTAAATATGTTAAACAACAGTACTTGCAGATTCACTTTGTTTTTTGACATAAGATTAATGTCAATAACATTTAAATAAGTCTTTACGAGGCATATTGGTTCGAAATGAACATTGTGCAACAACAATAGATAAAAAGAATAACCGATAATAAATAACATATGGTATAAAAATATTTAAGAAAAGAATAATCGCAAATTAAAAGTAATAATAGGAAGAAAACAGTAAGGGGGAAAATATACTATACCGAAACGAAAAACAGACTGTTGTATGACTAATTAGTCGTATGTGTGACAGATGGTTTGTCCTTGGTTTCTGGAGGGATTGGCTGAATTTAGAATGGAGAAAAAGAGAAAACGGGGGCACCTTACTCTAGTGTTCAAAAGCTTAATACATTTAACGGGGAAAGTGGGTTTATGTGTCACTTTATTTCCAATCTGTTAATAGCACTATACATGGAGTCTATAAAACAGTTACAAAGCTGAAAAGCCTGATTTTATTGTTTCACAATAAACTGTTTTTTAAACTAAAATCCGAGTAGTCGTTTGATTCTTGGTATTTCCTCCCACATTTTAAATCGTCAACTTCTTTGAATTTTAAAGGTGATTTGATTTTGGAATGTTTATACAGACATGACTTGTAATGTAATACTTTTAAAAATTTTAGCTCCTCAATCAGCAATATAGAGAGAAATTATAAATGAAATACACAACATATGTTCAAATATGAAACGAATATTTTAATAAAATCTTTGTTCTTCGAAATTATAGGAATACCAATAAAGTTAGATCTTTAAATTTGATAACTGATATTAGAGTTAGTTTCTTTGATGATAATAATTTAATATAATGTTTGATAATGAAGTTAGAATTTAAAAACAAAGACATATCGTAAAACAAGAGCCTTAAATACTTTGAATATGACAGTATATCTTTAATCTTACATACTATATGAAATTAAATGTTTATACCTGATGTAAGCTTTCATAAGCAGACATCTGATTGGACAAACGAATTTTGGATGTAACCAATGGCAGAAAAAAAGTATATGTGAAATGTGTAATATACAATGATATAACCGGTAAAATGTGTAATATTGCTTATTTGAGTCTGAGGTATATAGCCGTGTTAAAACTTAGACTTAACAGATATGGTAGTAATGGGAGGTTTTTGAGTCTGATTACTTATCGTATTGTTAGATAATTAACTTGTGATATATAATGCAAGGGTGACACTTTATTACGTCCATTTAAGGAAATATTAAGAGTTAAAGTATTGTAACACGCATAAGCTTCATACGTAAACCTGAAAAAACAACAACACATAAATAGATGGTTATATAATACAAGTTAACTTGAAACCTAAAGTAAACAAAATGGCATTTATTTATTGAACATCGATGTAAAATTAAAGTTTGAAAATTTCAAATAAAGTCTAATTACACATCAAATTTCTGGCTAGAAATTAATGAAAGAAAAATTTAAGTCAAACGTATTTTTAATACTTAAATTTAGCAAATAATGCAGAATTGGGCTTAACAGTGTTAAAAGTTGTTAAGGTAGAACTAAAATAAGTAATTTGAACCTCGATTTGTGATGACAATGTAACAAAATATGGAAGACTTTGAGTCACATAGAAACGAGTAAAAGAGAAATGAACGTTTACAAAAAGTCTGGCTTTTCATCAGCACAGTAGGCAGAAAACACATACTGCAAACAGACTAAAATATTGGTCTCAGAACTCTTTTATTTCGACGATTTTGTTAGGTTCTCAATAATATGTCTTGTTTTTTATCTGTTTCATGAGCAATATTGATTCGACACTAAACATGATTGTGAAAAAAGAATAGTCAGCATATACTCCGGAAAGTACCAGAAAATAGAACGACAGAGTGGTATCGTTTTTTGATTGATGATGAAGTTTTACTGATACTTTAACAAAACTAAGTCCCAAAGACAATTATATACAAAGAACACTTCTTCTGTGTTGTGCGAAACAACAGATAGCAACAAATATTTTAAACGAACAGTAAAAAAACATAAATATAATTATTTTTTCATGTCATCCAGAGTTGAGAAATGCACCTAAAAAAGAGCATGAAAATATATTCAAACCAAATCTTTCTCGCGCTCAATTTACTAGTACGATTACACAAAATAATTGGCTGATAATTAAAGTACGTTATTCATCCGTATATTAAAGGACCTGCTATTTACGTTTGAAGAGTTATTAGTCACGTACTTGAAGATCGTGTGCGTGAGCAGTCGTCGTTTACATTAAAGTTATTAATATTCAAACAATACGTAAGGAATCTAATATGTGGATCAGTTACGTAAGGAATCTAATATGTGGATCAGTAAAGATTCGTGGCAATAAAAGTAAAAACTGTTCATTAGAAATTCCTTAAGTAATATATTTATTATTGGTTTGTAACGTTCTTCTAATAAAAGACCGCTTTTATTTATTTGTTGTTGTTTTTTTGCCGAAGCGTTAATTCTATCCTGGCATCATGCCCTTTTGTTATAGTTGTAACGTCCAATCGCTGCATTACTTTCCTGATATGTAAGATAAGCTGATTTACAGGCGATCCTTAATCTTATACTTCGCGAGTGTTCGAATAATTAAAGTAAGTAAACCTGACGTTATGCTTTAATTTTAATATTTTGTTTGAAAATGTTTATCCCAACTTTAAAGAAACTATGTGAAATCGTAACTACAAGTTGTAAATATGCTTTATAGAACTTTATTTTATACAAATTACACGGAGTTGAAACATCTTTACTTGAGATGTTATTTGATCGAAAAACACTACATCAGTTATTTAATTTGTAGGAAGAGTCAACAAATACGTACATTATTCAAGTCCGTGATGATGTTGTTAAAAATCTATCATTGTGTGCAGCTAACGCCTCAGAATTATCTACATTGCTAACCTAGCGTTTCAGTTTTGAAAGGGAAAGCAAAACAAATGATAGCATTTTAGTTCAAATCAAAGAAATAACACACAATATGTTAAAATAAACTAACTGTCAGCCTACCTTGAATAAACATAGCAGCAAATATCGCTCCTCTTACAGAGAGAAGTTGCGACAGATCCATGTTAACTGAGTTTAGAAATACTGGTTTTAGAGTGTCATGCCATAGTTCTGGCAAGTCACAGAGAGACTGAGAATAAGCCAGCCAAAGTCTGCGATCGGGCACGAGTGCTCAGACATATTTAACTGGCGTCTCCTTTCAGGATGAGCAAAAAAGACACATAAAGGCTATAAGCCCACGTGAGGAAGTAACCTCGCTCCTAACACGCTTGCGTCAAACACACAGACACACACACAGGTTTCTATTAACTCAACCAGGAGGGGTAAGTCTGGCCGCGCCCTAGCGAGCAGTAATTAGTGTTTGATCAAATTAAAGGTGGAGGCGTATGGAAACCTACTGAAAAGGGCCTTGCCTCAAAAATATACATTGATTCCATAAAGGTGTTTTGAATTTAAAATTTATAATGAAGGACGTCCTGTTGTGTATAACAAACAAAAATACGGAACATGTTAAAACCTACGTACAAGTACATAATCCGACCTATTACATCAGAAACACTCTGTAAATTAACAAGGTGGGAGACATAAATTCATAGTCTTACTGTGGGTGAATTCGTAGAAATATCTACTCAGACAGGTTCTATATTTATAACACTATACAATTACCACGATATGAGTTACAACAGACATGTGTTTATTATACATTTCTGCGTAAAAGCAAAAACTAAATTACTGATATTTGCTGATAATATTGCCTTTTAGTTAACAAAACTCACACTTCAAGCCATTCACAAAAAATATTCAAGAGAAACACGTGAAAAAGATAATTAAGAAAATAAAAATAACGAAATGTGGGCAATAGAATGAAGCGTGAATTTTCATTTGTAGAACAACCAACAAAATTATATTAGTATATTAAAACGTGGGAATACAATTACCAAGTTGAAAAGTATATATTATTTCATTACCTCTCCATCAGCTCTTTTTTCTAGATTTTTTAGGTATTTCTATTTTCAAGTAACATTCTACAGATTTATCATAAACATCATTAACTAATCGAAATAATACCAAATTTACAAACCATCTCTTTAAATTTATATTCACTGCTTAACGTAAACAACAATGTACATCAAACATCCTAAAATTCACGGAATTCAGACTAAAGAGTTTCCTCGAATCCCATTATCAGCTTAACCACTTCAGGGCGTGTTGCTACTCTAAGCGGCCAGGTGACCGTGTAGGCAGCATTGTTCATCTACTTATATTTGACTCCATCCTTTGTTCGTTTGGAGATGACCTAACAAATCTGACTATTGTCTGGTTAAAAGTTTTTGCTCCGACAACCATTTTATTCATTCAACCTTTGTGTAAAGAGTGCATACTTAAATAAGTAACAATTTATACATTAGTTGTGTTTGGAATAATTTATCAGCGGTACAAAGCTTTCAAAAAATTCTTAAGCATATAGAACGTTTGATTAAAATAACGCATCTGCGCTGACTGACCAGTTTATTAGTACACCTGTACTTATAAGATAAACACTTTAACTACTTGTATAATAATACAAAAACTGATCACGTGATGTGTCAAGAGACACTTGAGCTTTAAAAAATATAGTCATATTGCAGTTATTCTGTAAAACAATAGGCAAGAACATGGGTCTTTAAAATTTAAAGGGGCTGGTAGTGGCCTGTTGGTTAGCGGGCCGGACTGTGAAGTTGATGGTCCATGGTTCCTTCCTGTTTCTGCAAAAACATGCTACGCACTATAGGTCCATAGGTGCGTTATATGAGTGATGGCCAAATCCCACTATTCGATTAGAGTATTCTGAGAGTTAAAGGTAGGTGCTGGTTACTAGCTTTTTTTCCCTCTAATTTATCAGTTCAAAATTGGCGACGGCTAGCGCATATAAATCTTATGTTTCTTTTCGTAAATTTCCGAAACAAAGAAAAAAGTCTAACATAAATAGTATTATTAATGTCCATTTTTGTGACCAGCTATTCAGTCATTTGTCATCAGAATGATATCCTTTACTGCAGCCATCAAGTGCTGGTAACTGACCGATAGGAAATATAGCTGACCAAGCTTTTCAAGTGTAATCGAACTGACTGATTCAATTAAAAGTGATTAGGATTCAAACATGTTCGACCATACTACACGAAAGATACTGTAACAAATGCCACAAACACTGCTCACATGTAATACAAATAGTAAAACATGTATTTACTGGTGTTTAGAGAACAAAATAATTGTAAATGTGTAAATGGTATAATAAATTAAATGCTCTTGAAAACTACTGAAATATCCATAAATACGTTTAATCGCACAAAACTGAAACATTAAAAATGAACTAACAAACACATTCTTATTTTCGAATCACATATAATAAACATCTGTTGCAGATCAAATAAAATCAAGAGTCATAAAAAAGAAATACAGAGGCAGCACAGTGTTATGTTGTATAGTTTTATACTCTATAACCAATATACACTGTTGTTGCGAACAGGTGAGGACACAAAGAGTTGTTAATTAATGTAGAAAAAAGATCGCAAGTGAAATCATCAGTGTGTTTAGATTATAATTATAGTAGAGTTTTCAGAACACAACAAGAAGCTACGTAAAATCCTGTTTGTTTGTTTTAGAGCAAAGTCACTTTGTTTATCTGCTGTGTCCACTGCGGAGAATCGAACCCCGGATTTTAGCATTTAATCTTTTTTTCCATTAGGTAATTTTGATTATTCCAGAAAATGAAGCGATGTTTAATACGACGTTATTCTATCTTGTTTTAAATGTGGCAAGAAACTTACTTCAAACGAATAGCTTGTCCACAACCCCATGGAGAAATTTCAGACTACGGGAAGGTTAAAAGAGCTTTCGTTTACCGATTTTAGTTGCTCTTGATATCGATTATCTAGTCTGTCTGGTGCCTCTCCTATACAAAGTTGGCCATCTACTGAAACAAGCAAATAAAAGATTAATTCTGACAAATGTGTATTGTCTTCCAAATTGGAATGTATAACCAATGCTGAATGTCATAGTATAAAATGAATCTTCGGATATTTGTAATAAATCTTTCATTTTCATGGGTGGGTTCCATTGAATTTGTTAGTACTCTTGAATTATTCTAATATAGAGTGTTTTAAATTGTTAATACTAAATAAATTGCTACATTCTGTAGAAGATCCAAGATGATGTAGAAAATATGAAAAAAGTATGGGATCAGAAATGAGTAAAATTAAATCAAATCAAAGCTCTTCTGTTTAGGAGAGGTGGTGATTTGTTAATCTGACAGCAACTAATACATTTAGGTTATTTCCTTCTTCTGAAGCCTTGATTTAATGGGAATAAAAAGCTAAGCTGTTTCTGTGGTTAGGAGTGAAAAAAGGATAGAATAAAAAACAAAAATTTTTTGCTCAAAGTTTACGCAAGCGAAATGAGTGGCAGTGATAAATCACTCCTTTACTCAAACGGTCATGGAGGGTGTGTTTATACGGCTCTTGTTAATGCTGTACTACAGGGAGCGTATAAATACACCCAAGTTTAAGCTAGCTAGCTGAGAAAAACTGATTTCAAAAATGAAATACAACTTGTCTGAACTAAACAATATCTTGAAGTGTAACCTGTATTTAGAAAACCAGTGTTTATCTATTGGCGCAACACGAAGTTTGAGTTTGATTCTCCGTATAAGCTCCATAAGATACGATAATTTATGCATTGAACATTCAATAATCATGCTGTAAACGTGATGGTCTTCTTCTCTTTGTTCCTATATTAATGTTTGTTTGTTTTGAATTTCGTGCAAAGCTACACGAGGGCTATCTGCGCTAGCCGTCCCTAATTTAGCAGTGTAAGACTAGAAGGACGGCAGCTAGTCATCACCACCCACCGCCAACTCTTGGGCTACTCTTTTACCAACGAAGAGTGGGATTGACCGTCACATTATAACGCCCCCACGGCTGAAAGGGCTAGCATGTTTGGTGTGACGGGGATTCGAACCCGCGACCCGCAGATTGCGAGTCGAGTGCCCTAACCACCTGGCCATGCCGAGCCTCTTATATTAATGAGGCCCAAATTCTTCCCCTCTTCTCATTTATTTGTTTTTATTGTGTTAACGATGCTGTACTTATGCGAATAAATGGAATTCCCTATATTATTCAAAATGGAAATTTAAAAAAAAGTATCGAGAGTATATACTGTAGAAAGTGTCATATGATTACTAGAAGATGTACGGCATGAGGAACGTTAACACTAAAATATTTTTCTTGGAATGTCTACATATCAATTTACGATCATCTAACAACTTTATAACTCTTACAACATATAAATTAATGACAAACTGACATATAGTGCATAATTTGACAAATCAATACACAAAGAACTTTAAACCTTTAATAATTAAAATACGCAGTTGGGTACTCTTGCTGGTATTGATATTTCCGTTCATAATTACAATAAAATCTCACGAGGTTAGAGTTATAGATTCATTTACAAAGTCAAAAAGGATTTCAATACTGAGATCCCTACACCTTTTAAAACGTTCCATAAGTTTTCAGTAACAATATGCGTACGGCCTCTGTTAAATTTTGGCCCGGCATGGTCAAGTGGATAAGGCGCTCGACTCGCAATCTGAGGGTCGCGGGTTCGAATCCCTGTCCCACCAAACATGCTCACCCTTTCAGCCGTGGGGGTGTTATAATGTAACGGTCAATCCCACTATTCGTTGGTAAAAAGAGTATCCCAAGAGTTGGCGGTGGTGATGACTAGCTGCCTTCCCTCTATTCTTACACTGCTAAATTAGGGATGGCTAGCGCAGATAGCCCTCGTGTAGCTTTGCGCGAAATTCAAAAGACAAACAAAAACAAACCGTCACATTTCCAACGACAGTATTCTCGTATCTGTTTCTAATATCGCTGTGTCATCGTTATTACATTCGTTTTAATCCTAGCATAAGTTTTCGGAAAATATACAGTATTTTTACATTAATGTACAGTCTCATATAGGGTAGTTCGAATGATAAAATAACTGCGTAGGCGAGGAAATAACAAAATACAAAATAGACTATAAATAAAATAGAATAATTCTATTAATGAAACAAGAAAACAACGTCACCAGTGACAATGTTTTCTTGTGTTATTCAGTCTCATAGAGGGTATCATTATCAACATTTTAAAATTGTTTATTCGTCTGTGGTGCCGTCTACGATCCGAAGA